GGCTATTTTTTTTTCCAATATTTATTTTATGTGTATGTATTTTTGCCTGTGTGTATGTATATAGAACTGGAATTACAGATGGTTGTGAGTCACCTTGTGGGTGCTAGGAATTGAACCCAGGTCCTCCTCAAGAAAAGCAACTACTCTCAATTTTTTAATCATATTTCCAGTCTTATTTATTTTTTTGTTTGTTTAGTTTGGTTTTGTCAAGGCAGGTTTCTTTGTGTTGCTCTGACTGTCCAGAACTCTCTCTGTAGATCAGACTGGCCTCAAACTCACAGAAATCCATCTGCCTCTGCTTCCCGATTGCTGGGATTAAAGGTATGAATCACCAAACCAGCTAATTTAGTTAGGTTTTTTTTTAAAAGATTAATTTATTTTTATTTTATGTGCATTGGTGTTTTACATGCACATCTGTGTGAGGGTGTCGGATCTTCTGGAACTGGGGTTACAGACCGTTGTGAGCTGCCATACCAGTGCTGGGAAATTAACCCTGGGTGCTCTGAAAAAACAGCCAGTGCTCTTAACTGCTGAGCCATCTTTTTAGCCTCCCAATTTAGTTAGTTTTGAGACAGTCTTATTATGCATCTCCTGACCCAGAAATTTCTATGTAGACCAGGGTGGCCTCCAACTCACAGAGCCCTGACTCTTCTGCCTCCAGAATGCTAAGATTAAAGCTGTGTGCCGCTATGCCTGGCTTCACTTCTTAAAATCAGGATCTCACTCCATAAGTCCACACTGGTCTCAAACTCATCTCATTCTTTCTCCATCGGCCTCCCCTAGTGCCTGGATAACAGGCATGAGCCATCTTGCCTGGCTCAATTTATATTTTTCATGTATTTTGAGGGACACACGCATGCTACTGCAGCCTCTGCCTTAGCACAAGGGCCTGGGAATTGACACCTTCCAGGGCAGCCTTGAGCCAGTGGCTCAGGGAGGCTGATTCGTGAAAGGCCTAGCTCTCCTATGGCTGCACAAACCTGAGGAAAAATTTATATCCTATATCCTCTTATGGGATGCAAACCAACTGCTCATTCACTGGTACCACATGATTACCTGGCTCCCTGGTTTCTTTTAGTAGCACTTTTGGGTCTGGGTGCTCCTTTGCCCCTCTTCCTCTTTGAACAAATCACACAGATCTCATTTCTAATGTTCCTGGGAAACAGGACCCAGCTTTTTTCTTCTGTGACTTTCTGTCAAATGTTTACTGTTCTACAGAGGCCCTGGGCCCAATCTCTTTCATGTCCAATGTCTGATCAGCAAGCTGCTTTGCACAGCTCTGTGACTCCAGTTCCACCAGACAGCTCCACCTGCTTGCACAGGACTCTTCCTGTGTTTATCGAGTAGCCACTAACTACAAGTAGCTACATTTTCTTTTGTTTTTGTCTTTTGTTTGTTTGATTTTGTTCTTTTGAGGCAGGGTCTCATCAATGTAGATCTGGCTGTCCTGAAACTACATAGACCAGGCTAGCCTCAAACCCACAAAGATCGGCCTGCCAGGACAGCTAGGACTGTTACACAGAGAAGCCCTATCTGGAAAATCAAATCAAAACAAAAACAAACAAACAAAAAATTTCAGTTCAGGGATTGGAGAGATGGCCCAGAGGTTAAGAGCATTGGCTGCTCTTCCAAAGGACCAAGGTTCAATTCTCAGCACTCACATGGCAGTTTACAACTGTCTGTAACTCCAACTCCAGGAGATTCAACACCCTCATACTAACATACATGCAGACAAAACATAAATGCACATAAAATAAGAAAAATAAATCATTTGAAAATAAAACAAAGCAAAACAAAATAACCAGTTTGTTGATCACACCAATCAAATCTGTGACCAAGTGACTACAATATCAGAATATTTCAGTCATTTTGGAAATTTGATTGGGTGCTGGAAGTAACTTAAAATATCTAGTATGTTCCAGGCCCTGGGTTTGACTCCCCCCATGGCACCTCCCCGCAAAGCTGGGACAATTTAGACACAACATATTGAAAGACCTGGATAAATCCAGATCCCCCTAGCAGGAAAACAGAGCCAAAAATCTAGCAGGAAAAGAAGAATCAGAAATCTAGGATTAGCCAATTTCAGGGTTTCAGGAACTAGCTGAAGATAAAGGTAGATTGTAATCTTGAGAGTAATCTTGAGAAACAGAGATTCCCCCTAGTAATTATCACCCCCTAGTAATTATCATTGGTATAGGAACTGGCTGATTAAGACCTTGAGAATGATCTTGAGAGGCAGGGAGTTGCCCCCTTGTAATCATCACTGGAATTTTCGGAATTTTCTGTGACACCCTCCCTGCCCCCCTTCGGATTACTGGGCTGTGTGGTTTCTTCCTATAAAAACTACTTCTCCCGGTCACTCGAGGTCGAACTCTTACCCTTCGTGGGTTATGAGTCTCGGCCCCAGTGCACTGGTCCCCATCTTGGTCTTGTCGTCTTGTCATTAAACCTCCCGTGATTGCAGCAAGGACGGTCTCTCGTTAGTTACTGGGGGGTTCGCGTCATCCTGAGGCTCGAGTGAGAGTCTCCCCTAATCGGGGGTCTTTCAATATCCAAACACATCCCAACTTATCAACAGTTCTTTCCTCTTCTGTATTCTGGAACCATGTCTATTCTTTTTTTTTTAAATATTTATTTATTATGTATACAATATTCTGTCAGTGTGTATGCCTGCAGACCAAAAGAGGGCACCAGACCTCATTATAGATGGTTGTGAGCCACCATGTGGTTGCTGGGAATTGAACTCAGGACCTTTGGAAGACCAGGCAATGCTCTTATCCACTGAGCCATCTCTCCAGCCCCCCATGTCTGTTCTTGATGATGGATCTCTGTGAGTTCAAGGCCAGTGTGGTCTACAGAGCGAGTTCTCATCCAACACAGCCAGGGCTACACAGAGAAACCCTGTCTCAAAACAAAACAAAATAAAAAAAAAAAAGAAAAAAAAAGCCAGAACTTGTTTTTTCTTTCTAAGATTTTCTAACTCCATGGGGGTGGGGTGGCACCCTTAGACAAACACTTTTTTTTGAAATTTATTTTTAGTGCATTATTTTTTTTTAAAGATTTATTTATTTATTAGGTATACAACATTCCTTCCATGTATGCTTGCATGCCAGAAGAGGGCACCAGATCTCATTATAGATGGCTGTGAGCCACCATGTGGTTGCTGGGAATTGAACTCAGAACCTCTGGAAGAGCAGTCAGTGCTCTTAACCTCTGAGCCATCTCTCCAGCCCCTTTAGTGCATTATTTGCCTGCAGTGTATGTTTGTATGGGAGTGCTGAATCCTCTAGAACTGGAGTTACAGACAGCTGTGAGCTGCCATGTGGGTGTTGGGAATTGAATCTGGAAGAACAGTCAGTACTCTTAACCACCGAGCCATCAACATTCTTTATGTGAGTGAGACAGGCCATTTATCCATCTCTATATTCTGGGTCATTTGCCTCTGGGTTCCAAGATGGCACTTGATTCAGTCAGCTAGTTGACTCTGAGAATTTTTAATTATTTTTTTCAAAACAGGATTTCTCTGTGTAGCCCTGACTGTCCTGAAACTCGATCTATAGACCAGGCTGGCCTCGAACTCAGTGATTCAACTGCCTCCCAAGTGCTGGAATTAAAGGCATGAACCACCACTTCCCCGCTTAAGTTTTTTTTTAAATTAATATTATTTATTTTAGCTGTGTGTTTTGCCTGCCTGTGTATCCCTGTGGAGGTCGGAAGAGAGCATTGGATTCCCTGGAACTGGAGTTACAGTTCTGAACCATCATGTAGGTGTTGGGGATTGAACCTGGGTTCTCTGCAAGAGCAGCCATTGCTCTTAATCATTTAGCTCTCTTCCCAGTCCCGTAATTCATTTAAATTTTATTATTACTATTGTGTGTATACGGGGTGTGTGTGGGGGGGAACGACACACAAGCATGTAAGGCATGTTGGCGATCAGAAGACACCTTTCCAGCGTGCTTTCTCTTTCTACAGTGTGTTCTGGGGATGGAACTCTGGTCATCAGGCTTGCATAGCAAACACAAGCACTTTTATACACCGAGTCATCTCACTAGCCTGGTTCTGGAAATTTTACCGGAGATCTCAGAAATGAGGGATGCTCCTTAAACTAAGTTACTAAGCTATGAGGACTTATTTGAATACGGACAAAAAGCTATCTTGCCACCAAGAGATAAGAGCCGGTCTGTGGGTGAAGACAAATGCATAAGAAAAGTACAATCACAGATGGTGACAGCAGTATCTTTTGGCCTGGGTCAACGATCGCAATTTACTCTGGCTTTTTCAATTGCTTAAACCGTAGTGAAGCTGTATCAATGCGAGTCTGGATTGCTATAGAGTATTTGTGCGCGAGGTTTCAACAACGTTTTGTACCGTCTGGTCTTCATCCCTGTAATTAGCCTTGAAGAGTCGCTTGAGCTTCAAGTTCTATGTCCACGCATCTCCTGATGTCCCCCAAGCATGTCAGAAACTGACCTCGCTATTGCCGCCCCATCTTTAGGTCCTGCCTAAGGTGGAGCCCTTCTGGACCACCACGTCCCTTTCCTCTGAAAAGCCAAGGTCGTAAGTTCAGACTCCGCCGGGCTCTTTCGGCTTCCCAAGGTCACCGTTTCTTCGGCCGCCCAACTCCCTGGGGGCGGTGTCCGTGTCCCCCTCAGTGCAGGACCAGGCGCTCTAGGCTGCAGCCAGCTCTTCAAAGAGCTTTATCATCTCGCTGATTTCCCTCCCGGGCGGCTACTCTCTCCGCTCAGGTGCCTTCTCTATGGTTGCCTTATCGCCTTTGCCTCGAATTCGCTTCGGAGGATGCTCGGCCGGGACCCAACTCCTTCCCACAGTTGTCTCAATGATCCCTTTTAGTTCCAACTGCAGAGGCCACGGAGTTCGGTGAGACCCGCGTCAGGCTGGCTCCTCAAAGTTCTGCACCGAGAACGATGGCGGAAGTGAGTACGTAGGTGCCCTCCCTCTCTCTGCTCTTCTCTATGGTCGCTTCCTTCCGCGTCGGGAAAACCCGTCCCGGCGCCTGCGCAGAAGCGCGTGCTGAGAGCTCGTCGCGGAGGCGGGGGGCACTGGGAGCGGGAGCTGCGGCCGACGCCGCCGCCGCTACCGCCGCCGCCGGAGCTGAGCGCGGGGACCGAGATGCAGGTGGGACCGGAACCGGAACCCCCCTATTCAAGTGTCTCTATTCTCTCCGGGACTCGACCCTGGTGCCTGAGGAACCTGGGCGGGGGTGGGCGTGGGGGTTCGGAGCTGGAGGGGTGCTTGGCTCCGGAGAGGGCTGCAGATAGGGCTGGTCCCCCGGAGTCTCCGACCTCGGGGTATGTGGAGGGTGTCCAGCGATTAGGATCGGATCTGAGTGATTGACCACGGGGCCTGGAGGGTCCAAACGTGGAGCGCAGCCTGCACCCTCCGCCACCCGCCCTTCTGGAATGTCAGAACTAAGCCAAGAGGCAGGTGCACAGGGAAATTGTGACTGAGCCTTCTTGGCAGAAGAGAAACTGAGTCACCAGTCCAGGAACCGCAGGGTCAGCGAGCCTTCATGAAGGGGGCTGGGTCGGCCAGTGGTGCCGAGGGCTGGGTGGGCCTGTGTGAGCCGAGGTAGCCTCTGGCTGGGGACTGTCTCTGCTGTGCCTGCACCTCTTGGCCCGGTTCCCCTGTGCTCTGTGACTCCCGCATCTCCTGGCAGCTTCTCCCTGGTTTGGAGTTTTCCCTGTGGTTGGGGCCATCGGAGTGTGTAAGGCTTAGGCCAAGGAGGAAGGGGAGGAGGGTCTCTGACTTACAGCCTTGGTCGTGGGTTTGATGAGGAGATGGACATTACTGGTAGTTTGGGGAGACAGACTTTCCTGAGCTGTCCTGGGCAGTCATCTCGTAGGGCAGGACCACTCGTCGAAGAACTATTGGTTGTAAATTTCATGCCTGTCTCTGCCACTTTCTCGTGGTGACTGAGTTGTGACACCATCAGAAGCTGTCCCCTCTAGTTTCTCTTAGAGCCAGCGGGACCCATATACTACTGTTCTCCCCCATAGACATCGTGAAGAGGACAGTTGTGTCTTGTGTGCTTACTTTGTGTCTAGCACAGACATGTACCCTGTCATTTCATGTCTCCTGACAGCGGTAGCAGGTCGAGATTACTAGCTGTGTTTCACACATGCAAAAGCTGGGCGCACACAGCTAACAGGTGGGCTGAGCTGGGCTTCACCAAGTCTCACAAGCTTTAGGGCATATTCCCCAGGGAGAGAAAGTCTTGAGCCCCAGCTGCTTGTGATGTTTTCCTTATGTGGCCAGTAAAGACTTGCCCTTAACCAACACACCATCTCTTTTTCTCTAGTGCTCCTGCCAGACAACTCTAGACTAAAGGGGACCCAGAGGTTGGTCTTTAGACAGTCCGAAGCTCCATATAGGGCTTAAGTGCTGGGTTGTAGGATATGCTTCAAAGACAGTCATTGGACTCAGGAAGCAATGTCTTTGAACTCTGTAATTCCTGCACCCCGTTGGCCCCGCTGAGACCAGAGCAATAGAAGCTGTGGTTGACGCTGGTCCAGCCAGCCCCTGGAGACTAGACCTATGCAGTGGAAAACACAGTAGACTCTGAATTCTGGAATTTGTTTGACGTCTCTGTTTCCTCATCCAAAGAGGTTATTGAGTTTTCCAGGGAATGGTAAAATGACCTTGTGGAACGGGCTGGAGTGACGTATGAAAAGTGTGTTGTAGTTAGGGAAGGCTTTGCTTGACAAGGGACAGTGGTGATCTGTAAGGTCCTCTGCGGTGTAAGATGCTTCGAGGCCCTCTCTTTCCTGGATTCCTCAGCAGAGGGAGTAGTAGCAAAGGCAGCAGGAAAAGATGCTGGGTGGACATTGGGCTGGGCATCCCTTATCCCTGGAGTATATGTGGGGTGTAGATCTTGACAAGGGCAAAGCAGTTTAGTTCTCTTCTTCCGTTGCCCCTGAGGAATCTGGGTGGGAGTTCCTGGTTTGGGCCGGGACACGCCCCAGTCTCACCTCTGCAGTGATTCAATGTATATGCTTTTTTCTTCCTTCTACAGCTGTTGCCGTTCACCCCGTGTCTTCTGGCCACTTTCTCCTTTGCTGCCCCTCCTCACAGGCTGCCGTTGTCCTCCTCCTGGGGCCCATCATGAATGGTGCCCCTTCCCCGGAGGATGGGGCCTTCCCTTCTCCGCCAGCGCTGCCACCACCCCCTCCCCCAAGTTGGCAAGAGTTCTGTGAGTCCCATGCGAGGGCTGCTGCCCTGGATCTCGCCCGCCGTTTTCGCCTCTACCTGGCCTCCCACCCACAGTATGCAGAGCCTGGGGCAGAAGCCGCCTTTTCTGGCCGTTTTGCTGAGCTGTTCCTGCAGCACTTCGAAGCTGAGGTGGCCCGGGCCTCGGGCTCACTCTCCCCACCTGTCCTGGCCCCACTGAGCCCTGGTGTGGAGACTGCACCACCACATGACTTGTCCATTGAAAGCTGCAGGGTCGGCGGGCCCTTGGCTGTGTTGGGCCCTTCTCGATCTTCGGAGGACCTAGCTGGCCCCCTCCCTTCCTCAGTCTCTTCCTCCTCTACAACGTCCTCAAAGCCGAAACTCAAGAAACGCTTTTCCCTCCGCTCCGTGGGTCGCTCAGTCAGAGGTTCTGTACGAGGCATCCTGCAGTGGCGGGGGGCCGTTGACTCTTCCTCCCCAACTGGGCCTCTGGAGACCACATCGGGCCCTCCAGTCCTAGGTGGAAACAGCAACTCCAACTCCTCTGGTGGTGCTGGGACAGTTGGTAGGGGCCTGGCTAGTGATGGCACAGCTCCTGGGGAGAGATGGACTCACCGCTTTGAGAGGCTGAGACTGAGCCGTGGAGGGGGAGCCTTGAAAGACGGAGCGGGAATCGTACAGAGAGAAGAGCTGCTTAGTTTCATGGGGGCTGAAGAAGCTGCCCCTGACCCAGCAGGAGTGGGTCGTGGAGGAGGGGCAGCCGGACTGACCTCAGGGGGAGGAGGGCAGCCTCAGTGGCAGAAGTGTCGCCTACTGCTCCGAAGTGAAGGAGAAGGAGGAGGAGGAAGTCGCTTGGAGTTCTTCGTACCACCCAAGGTGAGCCCATAGGAGAGTGGGTGGCCGGAAGTGACAGTAGCTGAAGAGGTCATGCGGCTCTGTAGATAGCCTTGGTGTTGGAACCTATGTACTCAGGGTTGCCGTCCTGGATTTAGTGCCAACTGTGGGCTCTCAAGTCAGTTAGTTGCCTTGGTGGATCTGAGACCAAACAGCTGTTAACTGTTTCACCTTACCTAGGCAGGAAAGGTGGGTGAATGGAGCGGGGACAGCTGGCCTTGGCCACACTAAAAGATTGATTCTTATTCCCTTTCCCACCTAGGCATCCCGGCCCCGACTCAGCATTCCCTGTTCTACTATCACTGATGTCCGCACAGCCACGGCCCTAGAGATGCCAGACAGGGAGAACACGTTTGTGGTTAAGGTAGGTCTAAGCTCTGCCCCTAGAGAGTGCTTGTGCTTGAGAGAATGCTTTTGATAGATTTAGGCAAGTGTCTTTGGGAGCAGGATGAATATATGACAGGACAGCTGTGCCTGCAGCTGTGGGATATGACCTGTAGGCCTCCTGCCCCTGCCCTGGATGAAGCCCCACCTCTTGGCCCTGTAGGTAGAAGGCCCTTCAGAGTACATTCTGGAGACGACTGATGCACTTCATGTGAAGGCCTGGGTGTCGGACATCCAGGAGTGCCTAAGCCCTGGGTAAGAAGCTTGCTTCTGTGCTGGAGGGGATCTGGAGGTGGGTAGGGAAGCAGCCTTGTGCCTTTCTCTTGGTGATTTTCTCCCCAGCACCACTTTCCCTGTCTTTGTAGACCCTGCCCTGCTATCAGCCCCCGTCCCATGACCCTTCCCCTGGCCCCCGGGACCTCCTTCCTCACAAAGGATAACACAGACAGCCTGGAGTTGCCCTGCCTGAATCATTCAGAGAGTCTGCCCAGCCAGGATCTGCTGCTGGGAGCCAGCGAGAGTAACGACCGCCTGTCACAGGGTAAGGTAGAGCCTTTGAGAGCCACTGGGCCAGATTCTTACTTCCTAGCTGCTCTACCGACAGCCTACTGACTGCTTGTTTCTTGTCTCTGGGCATACCATGTGCTGTTACGTCATTGCTGACCATTACTTTCACCACTGTGCATGGGCTCCACCAAACCCCTCTCCAACCTCTTTCACTCAGCCCTTTGACTTTTCCATAAGCCTGCAGACTTCCAGAGTACCTTGTGGACACCTTTGTTTGAGTCTGGTCATGCATCTCGGCATGTCAGTGACCTTTGCACTTTTTCTTTTGGTCTGACGTAACACTCATGTACTCAGAAAGATACATATCTGTCTGGCCTAACTCACCTTCTAGACTCTGCTTCCACTTTACCCTTTTCTTCTGACCCTTGGTTTTGAGTTTCAGCTTCACAGTGCCTGGTATACAAGCTGCATTCAGTCAGCAAAAGAGCTCTGATAGATAGGGATTGCTAGAGCTAGCATAGCCCTTACATCAGATTGCAAGTAGCTAAGACCACAGGGCGGAAATGGATTTCCTGAAGTTTCTGACAAAGATGGGCTATGCTAACCTAGTTCCTGACATGCCTCTTTTCTAAGTGATATGGTGATATGTCTGCTGGCCTAGGCCTGAGGTTTGGCAGATGTTCAGTTAGGCCCTAGTATATCACTGGCTGCATGCTAGGCTTTGGAGTGGATGGAGAACTCAGGTATTTCAAAGGGGTCTTTGGTCTCCTTGGGTTTGCTGTAGCTGAATTGGTAAGACCTTATTTCCGATAAAAAGCAGTTCTCCAAAATGGGGAGTCTGCTTAGTGTCCTCTGAGCAGCCCAAGCCAGGAGCATCTTGGGAAGTCAGGAGGAAGAGAACAAGGAGATAGAATAGGCAGGATGCTACACAGAGGAGGTGAGGGAAGAGAGTGGCTTCAAGGACACCAGGACTGGGAGTACCAGATGCATGAAAAGTACATAGGCTAACGTGACTAAAGGAAAAAACTCACGGGGAGTAAAAGTAAAAACTGAGTTGATTCAGCCTAAGGGGTTAATGGGAAAGAGGATTTTCCCCTTTTGTCAGTGATGACTGAGCCAGGACTTTGGTCTTGGTAGGCAAGCACTCTGTCACGGAAGTGTGTTCCCAACTCTTGTGTGTGCTTTAGACTGACCTGCAAGCCTCCAGCCTCAGCCTTTTGAGTGCTCGGCACAGGAGTGTACCTCATGACAAGAGTTTTTGATGTGCTTCAAATCAGTAGTTTTCTTTCCTAGTCTGAGTAGAGGGCTCCTTTCTAACGTGGACATTTTTCAGGGCTTCTATCCCTCACCCCACCAACTATTGCAATAATTTTTCAGCTGTTGATTCAGAAAAGACATAGGGACATTTGGATTCTAGGACCTCCTCGAAATAACCATGGTCTCTCAGCAGTGCAAGCAGTGTAAGTCAGAACCATCGTAAAAATCCATCAGGGTCAGTCCTCTAGAGGTGTGCGGGGGCTGGGCACACAAGTGGACAGCCAACGGGGAGATGGTAGGAGCCCAGGCATCTAGAAGAGGAACCTGTGGCGTTCTCAAGTTGGGCCTCCTCCATTTTCTTTCAGGGGCTTATGGGGGCCTTTCCGACCGGCCGTCAGCATCCTTCTCCCCTAGCTCTGCCTCCATTGCTGCCTCCCACTTTGACTCAATGGAACTGCTTCCTCCAGAATTGCCCCCTCGCATTCCCATTGAGGAGGGACCCCCAGCAGGGACAGTTCATCCCCTCTCAACCCCCTACCCTCCCCTGGATACTCCAGAAGCAGCCACAGGTATTAGGTGCATGTGTATCTGTCTTTGGTTTTTGGTCCTGAATTGGAACTGGAGGGGTCAAACCCAGGAGCAGCTGGTGACCTGGCTGGGGAGGAGGTGTCTCAAGGGGAACAAGGTTAGGAAGAAACCTCTGACAGCTGGTTTCCCCTCTCTCCTCCTGCAGGGTCATTCCTGTTCCAGGGGGAGTCCGAGGGAGCTGAGGGGGATCAGCCCCTCTCAGGATATCCTTGGTTCCATGGCATGCTCTCTCGACTCAAGGCTGCCCAGTTAGTGCTGGAAGGAGGCACTGGCTCCCATGGTGTCTTCCTGGTACGTCAGAGTGAGACAAGACGTGGTGAATATGTTCTCACTTTCAACTTCCAGGGCAAGGCCAAGGTGAGTGAGTGGTCCTGGAGAACTGTTGGGCGGTGTTGGGGTGGGTGTGGAAGAGCCCTTGTCCCGGAGCTCCCGCCTTACTGCTCATCCTGCCCTCAGCACCTGCGTTTGTCACTGAATGAGGAGGGTCAGTGCCGGGTTCAGCACCTGTGGTTCCAGTCCATTTTCGATATGCTTGAGCACTTCCGGGTGCATCCCATCCCTCTGGAGTCTGGCGGCTCCAGTGATGTTGTCCTTGTCAGCTATGTGCCCTCCCAGCGGCAGCAGGGTGAGCAGAGCAGGTCTGCAGGGGAGGAGGTGCCCGTGCACCCAAGAAGTGAGGTGTGTGTGCCAGGAAGACGGGGTGGGGGGTTGGAGGAGAGGCCCTGGTAGTGGGGTACAGGGCGGTCGAGGTACCTGGGCAAGGGCCTGCAGGGACTATGGAAGGCTGACAGGATACAGGCAGGCAGAGGCTCCTCATGGGGCCGCGGGTGGTAGAGAGTCGGGTGGTGCATTCCCATTCCATCGGATCCTCCCGCTCCATCATTGTCTGTCTCCTCCACCCATCCTCCTTGGCCTTGTCTTTGACCTTTTGGGGAATTCGTGGTCTGTTCCCCCTCCTTCCTCCCTTGATGTCTGATGTCCCTGTCTGATCTCTCACTTTCCCCCACCCCACCATCCCATCTATCCCCACGTTGCCCCTCCCCCCCAGGCCGGGAGCAGGCTGGGAGCCATGCAGGGGTGTGCGAGGGCGACCGATGCTACCCCGATGCCTCCTCCACCCTCCTGCCCTTCGGAGCGAGTGACTGTGTGTAAGTGTGGTCCTCTCACCGCCGCCCATGATTCATCTTCCATGGAGGGGGGTTGCTCAGGAGATGGGATATGGGAGATAGCACATGGCTCCTTGGGGAGGACAAGCAAAGGGGAGGCCACCACAAGAACTCACTTCCTTCCACAATCAATGTGTCTTCTTACCATTCCTATCCAGAACGGAACACCTCCCGTGACCCAACCCAGCCCCCTGAACCCCCTTCATGGACAGATCCCCCACATCCTGGGGCAGAAGAGGCGTCGGGGGCGTCAGAAGTGGCGGCCACCACAGCCGCAGCAGCCAAAGAGAGGCAAGAGAAAGAGAAAGCGGGCGGTGGAGGGGTCCAGGAAGAGCTGGTCCCCATGGCTGAGCTGGTCCCCATGGTTGAATTGGAAGAGGCCATAGCACCAGGCACTGAGGCTCAGGGTGGCCCTGGCACTGGTGGAGACTTGGGGGTGTCCCTAATGGTGCAGCTCCAGCAGCTACCACTAGGGGGCAATGGAGAAGAAGGGGGCCACCCCCGAGCCATTAATAACCAGTACTCCTTTGTGTGAGATACCTGCCCACCCTCCATTTTCCTGCTCCAGCCTTAAGTTGTGAGACTGGGCTGGGTAGGGACACTGAGGAAAGTGGGAGTCCCCTCCCCACATGCTTCCTGACCCTTGTCATCCAAGGGCATATATGTTGGTACAAGTAGAGGTTCAAGAGCCCTGTTAAGTCCCCAGTTACTACACTACAGGTGCCCTTGCCCCGAGGCCAAGGACTTGGGCTCCATTACCTCCCTGAGGGGCTCTCATGGTCAGCCCCATCCTTGGGGGCTATTTCCCCACTAATAACCCCCAACCCAAGCAAGGGTGAGGGGGAAGGGCTGTCAGTTATATTAAGGTTGTTGTTGTTGTTTTAAACAAAATGGAAAAGCATAAATAAATAAAGGGTTTATCTTAGTTCCATCATGATGGCTCTGGCTAGTGTTTGGAGTGGGACTTGGGACAGATAAAATTGTCTCCAGTGGCCGGGCAGTGGTGGCGCACGCCTTTAATCCCAGCACTCGGGAAGCAGAGACAGGTAGATCTTGTGAGTTCAAGAACTATGGAGAAACCCTATCTCGAAAAACCAAAATCTGTGTCAAGTGGATAAGGCTGTCTTCTGAGCTCACAGAGCTGGCCTGGGCAGTCCTTTTCACTCTAGTCTAAGGCCTTTGGAACCACGCCTCTGTAGTTCACTTGGTTTGCAGAGCTCAACGGTTCTTCGTGGGGGTTCCAGCGTGTTTTCTTTAGGGGTGAAGGTTTCTTTGAAGACAGTGTCTCATTATGTAACCAGAACTTGTGATCCCCCTGCCTCAGCTTCCTGGAGCTGAATGGATCACACTGCCACACCTGCCGCTTGTTCTTTAATGCGGTGAGACAGTGAAAGATGGATTTCTGCTCACCCGAGGCCTTTGCTGCGCTGAAGGTTTTGAGTGAAAGCTCCCATCCTAGGAAGAAAGTAGGTAGAAGGAGGCGCTGGAGTGACACGAGCTTACTGCAGCCGCCCACGGCTGCCTGCAGAGGGTCTCAGGCTGATTGGCTCCTTTGTTAGAGCCTGGATGACAGTACTGGCTCTGGGTCCTGGTGCTGACTCTCATTTGCTATATGGACCTGGGGGCACGGCAAGTGACTCTGGGCCTTGGCATCCTCCATGAAATGTGAAATTTCATCTTGGTACTGCTGACATGACTTGGCTAAATGTTTGTCTCTGAGTTTATACATGTCTCAAAGCATTCCTTGAAAGTCACAAGTTCCAAGCTGGGCAATGGTGGTGCACACCTTTAAACCTAGCACTTGGGAGACAGAGGCAGGTGGATCTCTGTTCAAGGCCAGCCTGGTCTACAGAGTGAATTCTGGGACAGCCAGGGTGACACAGAGAAACCTTGTCTCAAAAAAACCAAAAAAGAAGAGAATTAAAAACGAAAGTCACAAATTCCAGTTGTCTGGGTGTAGCTTCTACACATTCCCCTTCCCTGAGGTCCAGGCTGTTGGCATGGGGTTTACAACCACTACCGCCACCACCAAACTCCCAGTTTTTGCTATAGACCCTGCCCTGAATACATCTTTCAGCACCGCATCTATGCTCTCCAGCAGGGGTGCCCTGGCATCCCAGTTTAGAAGTGGGGGCAGGGGTGCTAGAAGGAAAGCAGGATCTGAAGACTGCTGTTACCTTAGGCCCTCCCTCCCACCTTACCACTGGCTCGCCCCCTCCCCCACCTGGTGTGCCACCCTCCCTCCCACCTTACCATTGGCTCGCCCCCTCCCCTGGGAAAGTGGAGTGGCCGATCTTCTGTCCCTCAGCCTGTGCCCCACCTCCAAGAGGCCCTACCCACGCTCATGACCTTGCTATTCTGAGCCCTGTGTTGGTTCTGTGGGGAGATGGACAGGAGACAGCTGAACTCATAGGCTATCTAGGGTGGGGGTTGGTTGGGGGAAGCCTGCTGGCTCTTGTTTTACCTCATCCCTGGGGCTCCCCAAATCTTGGCCTTGAGTAGGGTTTGAATTGGCCTGTTGTGGAGGTTGGGCTGGACGGAGGGCAGCTTTAGACCTGTGCTGTGTTCTCCAAGTGAGACTGTTAGACAGCCAATGGCCAGTGAGACCTGTAACCCTCAGAGTGGGAAGATCTGATCCTCTAATCCCATGGCAACTGGAGCTCAGATGCTCCCCTCCCCTGTGCCCTGCCACCTTCAGGGACTTGCCATCCTGGAGTGGGCAGAAAGACACCCCCAGACTACCATGTCCTGGTTACAAGAGCCCGAGAGACAGTAAGATGCCTCTAGGTATTTGTGGACAGGGATGGGCCAGGCTCTGCCTTCATGCCCTTCACGACCTGCCCGCTCCCTCTCCTCCACCTCAGAACTCAGGAACAAGAACACCTTTAGTCTTGGTGTAGTGGGGTGTGGTCTGGAATGGCCTCATCTGCTCCCTTTCCACCGCAGGTCACAGTGCGGTGAGGTAGGTATCCCTGGAGCTCTGGACTGGTAGCTTTCGCTCTGGCCTTCATTTATCTATCTGGGAAGCTGGAAGAGGTAGACACGAATAACCTCAAAGAGCCTCTTTGGCAGGAGTGTCCTGTAAAGCCTGCCTTCTTCCCTCAGTCAACTCCTTTGAAGCTCTCACGTCCCTACTCCCCCTCTCCATGTTTGGGCATTCCTGCTGCTGGAGGACAGTGGCCCTGTGGCTCCTGTCGCTCCTCCAGCTGCTGCTGGGGAGAAGCCAGCGAGGGCCCCAGCCTCCATGGCTGCTCGGCCTGCTTCTGGCTGGAGATGGAGGGTCCTGGGCCAGGTGGAGATGCCCGTGGATGTGACCCCCTATATTCCCACCCCATTGTCTAAGTCCCTCCACCTCAGGTCACAGCAGGACTCTACTTCAAGGGAGGGGCTTGTGGGAGCTGTGAAAAGAGGGCGGGAAGGGACACCTTGTCCTCATTTCACCCTTCCCCCCAGTCTGGGCAGAAGGCAGGATGGAGCTGAGGCTCAGTCCTTCATTTCTTCCTATCCGTGTTGGCCACCCTGGCCCCAAACAAGTGGGGCTTCTTTTTGTTCTTCTGGGCTCTGCTTCTGGTATCATTCTGTCTGTGTGCTGGAGCCCTGGTGTGGGAAGTGCTTATTGGTTCTTTTCAGGGAAACTGAGGCCTGGGTAGAAGTGGGACCAGCGCTCTAGGGCTGCAATGCTGCAGGCCCTCACTGACCTTTTAATCTCGACTCCCATGGAAACTTCTCTGCCTCAGTTTCCACCCTGCTTGCATCCTGGCTGATGTACCTTGCCTGCTCCTCCAGCAGTTGCCTTGGTGGAAACCAAAAAATGCCCCAGTGGTGAACCGGGGTCGGGAAGGGTGGTGCAGAGCAGCTGCTTTTCAGGGGAAGCTGACACCCAGACCAGCCCTTCAGCAACAACTTGTGGCTTTGCACCCAGCCCCTGGGGCCACGCCCACCTGACTGCCACTGCCAGCCTCCTGCTGTTTCTTTTCCCTCTTCTCCTCAGACGTAGTCTCTGGGCCGCCTCTGCTCCTACCTCAGTTCTGTGCTCCTTTCTTCATCTCTACCCCTCGCTCCCTCTCTGGAGCCTCTACTTCACCCAGCGTCAGGGGTCCTGTGCCCGGGCCCTCTGGCGTGGGGCAGGCCCGGCTCTAAAGCACTCCTACCACCAGGCCTGATCCTCACTCCCTCTGTGGACTGTTGCTTCAGGGCCAGAGCTGCTGAGACCCCTACACCTCTGGGATTAAAGGCCAGTGTGTGATGAGGAAATCCTCATTCCCCTGCCTCACCCTGAAACTTATCCCTCCCCCTCTGCCATCAGCACATTCTGTAGCCTCTTGGGTTACCTGACTGCTTGGGTGTCCCATTTTCTTCAGGGGGGGATTCCCTGCCAGTTCCCAGAGACTGAGCTACAGCGGTCGTGGCGGGGGGAGTGTAGGAGACGCAGGCAGTCCTGGCTTTGCCCGCCAGGGCCTGGACACTAAATCCCTTGTTGATGGCGGCAGCAACCCCTCCCTAGGGTAAGGTTACCATCTTCTGCCCAGTCCCCTTGACCATCTCCCTTCCCTACTTTCCCTTATCTCTCTAGAGCCACTTCCTCTGCCCCCCCCAAAGATGCTCTCCCCTCTCCTTTGATCCCCTTGGAGCACTTCCTCTGTCCTCTGCACACACTAGGCAGGGAAGGGGCTCAGGATGGTCAAGACAGGAGAGGCCTGAGGGGCCATGAGACCTGAGGGCAGAGGGGTGTGCTTAGGGTGAGCTTGGAGTTGGGCGTTTAATGTAACCAGGGAAGTTGAGGCACCTGGGGGCAGGGTCGGTAGCAGATAACAGAAAAATGACTTTATTCCCTGCCCCCCCCTCCCTGGGGCTGGGGCCACCCTTCTGAGTGACATCCCAGGCTGCAGGCCCACTGTTCTTCTCTGTCAGCAGAAATCTCTCTCTCTTCTGACCCCTCCTGCTGGGGTCTCAGCCAGCCAATCCCTGATCTGGGGGAAGGGGGAGCCTGGCCCCCCCACTCCCTCATAAGGACCAGCTGGGGGCTGGGGGGGTGGCCGGCTGCTGCAAGTGGGACTGGGGTCAGAACTTCGTGGAAGGAGGAAGAATCTGGGGGGGGCAGGCGAGAAAAAGGAAGGAGCCCAGATCAACAGGCAGGTGGACACACGGAAGACGTTCCCCCTCCAGTGAGAGGCCCCTAAGAAGGAATACATCGCCCCCTGGGCCCCAAGAAGGGAGCACAATGGAGGCCGCACACTCCAAGTCCACAGAGGAATGTTTGTCCTTTTTTGGGGTGAGCGAGACCACAGGCCTTACCCCAGACCAAGTTAAGCGGCATCTGGAAAAATACGGCCCCAATGGTAAGTAACCGTCAGAGGAGAGGCAGGCATGGCTGCCCTCCCACCCCCGCTAGTGGGAACTGCTTCCTCCAGGGTCTGCATGGATGAGAAGGGCAGTTGTTGGCTTCTTGTAGGAGGGGCAGGATACTAAAGAAAACAGTTTTGCCATCTGGAGCCTGGGGAGGTTTTACGGGGTGACCTTGAACTTCAGATGCCCTTTTGATAGCCTGAGTCTCTTAGTCGCCAAGTTCTGGGTGTGGGGGACTGAGGCTGAACCCCAACTAAATTTGTCCTTTTCTTTTTCCCCCTTGAATAGAGCTCCCTGCTGAGGAAGGTAAGTTACCTGAGCCTTGAGCCCCTGCTAAACGAAACTCCTGGTGTGTGCCCCATTCCTGGCTCCCCGCCTTCTCTTTTCTGAGACCCACAGCTTTTCCCAAAAGGCAGATCTCTTCCCCAGAGCTTAGTGTCAGACATCTCCAGATGCTTTTTCCTTGAGACTTTCCAGCCTTGAAAAATTGCCACAGATCTGAAGAGCCTTTTTGGCTGTTTCATCTTTCTCTCGTATCAAGCAAGGCTGCCGATCAGCTTAGAGGTTCAGGGCAGGCTAGACTCTGGACCCAAGCCCATCCGGAGCCACAGACCCTCATCTTTTGGATTGTAATCCCCTGGGACTTCTCTTCTCGCTCTCCCCCAGGCAAGTCCCTGTGGGAGTTGGTGGTAGAGCAGTTTGAAGACCTGCTGGTGCGGATTCTTCTCCTGGCGGCCTGCATCTCCTTCGTGAGTGCTGAGGGCATTTGGGGGCCGTCTGCAGAACAATGTGGGGCTCTGACCATCCTAGATGCCCTCAGTCAAGCCCTGAACACCCTGTTTTCCAGGCTGGAACTGGGGGCAGGGTGCTGATTCGCTTCCTCCCCTGCAGAGAGGTTTTATTTTAAGACCTGAGAGCGTTCTCAGCCAAAACACTGAAGCTAAGCCACCCTCCCTAACCCTAACCCTCCCTGCTTCAAGGGCTTCAAGGGCTCAGGTTACCCCCTAAGCACAGGGCTCCTAGCTTCGATGTGGGATGCAGCATCCACTGTGGGGGCCACCAGCACGCCCTGCCTGTCCTGGTTGGTCCACACTCTGCTTCTCCAGTCCTGCCCCGCCCTCTCCAGCTTGTGATGCTGATTGGCCAAAAGAAAGGCTTGCTTCGAGAAGTGGGGAAGGTGTTGCTGGTAGTGATAACCACCAATGTGCCTTCCAGCCCCTTTGACCCCCTACACACACACACCCCTCAACTGTCTCCAGACTTTACCACATCCTGCTTCCATTAGGGGCTGGCACGTGGCACCTACTTCTCTTTACCCGGCCTGATTCATCCTTACCTCTTGGTGTCTCCAGTCCCTCAGAGCCTTTGCTCTCCCATCTCCTTGTGAACATCTCCAGCGTTCACAGCCCCTGCTGCTGGCTCCTGCCACCCACTGGTCCAGCAGTCCATCTTACATTTTAGAATTTCTTTAGCATCCTACCTGGAAAATAAGGCCTAGGAGGTAAAAAGCATAAAACATCTATGGAGGCCCCATGCACCCTTGCATCTAAGCTGGCAGCCTCCCTTCTCTCTCCTCGGATTTGCTCCTTGACATTTGCCTGTGGCTGCTGCCTGGCAGTGGCAACAGCTGGGGTGGGGTGGGTGCTGGAGGCCTGTAACCCTACTCCCCTCCTGTTCTCTCATGAAATTGGAGCTTCCATGCCTTGCTAAGGGAGGGCTGTGGGTGGGCTGGGCCCGTCGAGGACCATAGGGATTTTCCTATTGGGCTTGGGTCCCTGTGAGATGGATGGCTGAAGGGGTAGTTGACCCTGGGTGTCCTGGGAAGGATTGCCTACAAGCCAACAGTTTGGTCAGGGATACCTGAAAGCTTTCCCGGTTAGTGTGTGTGTAATGTGTATGTGTGTGTGTGTGCACACGCGCGTGTGTGTGTCTGCACTGCTTATTTGCACACCATCACAAGGATGGCTGGGAATGTGTGTTCAGAGTCCTGCAATGTGAAGAACCTTACACTCCCGTACATCGCCTGACCTCTGCTGTGTTCTTCAAAAGCTTTCCCATTTCTTTCTTTAGTCACTTGGGGCCTTTGTGGTTCCCCCTTCCCTCTCAGGTGCTGGCCTGGTTTGAGGAAGGCGAAGAAACTGTCACCGCCTTTGTGGAACCTTTTGTCATTCTCTTGATCCTCATTGCCAATGCCATCGTGGGGGTTTGGCAGGTTAGTTCTGACTCCTTCTCCCCGCTTGGGTCTCAGCACTGGGCAAGGGGCCAGACCTCCTTCCCATCCCCTCTTCCTCTTTCATCTTCCCTGGCTGTGCCGTGCCCACTCCTCTGGTCTTCTCATTCAATTGGGAATAAGCCGGAAAAACTCATGTTTACTGTGTGACCCCGAGGAACTTCTCCATTCCCTAAGCCTGTTTCCTCACCTAGAAACTAGGAATAGTAAGCTAGGTGTGGTGGCACACACCTACAGCACTCCAGAGGCAGACACAGGAGTCCTAGGCTAGCCTGGACTACAATGTGAAATTCTGTCTTTAAAAGAAAAAAAAAACCTATGCAAGGTTGAGCACACTTGTAATCCTACAAGAATGAAGGACAGAAAGGGGGTGAGGTCAGATGCGGTGACACACTGCCTTTAGTTCCACAGTTGCAGGAGTAGAGGCTGGTGGATGTCTGTGAGTTTGAAGCTAGCCTGGTCTACATAGAGAATCCCAGGTCAGGCAGGGCTACATAGTGAGCCCATTTTGAAAAGAAAAGAAAAGAAAAGGAAAGAAAGAAAGAAAGAAAGAAAGAAAGAAAGAAAGAAAGAAAAAAAGAAAGAAAAAAAGAAAGAAAGAAAACAGGAAAACAAGACCAATAACTGTTCCTCAGGCTTGATGCAATTGAAAAAGAACATGAAGGTTCATGGCACATAGTAGGCACTCAATAAATACTAGTTTGATTTCTTTCTTCCTCTGACATTATCGGTTTACTTTCCTTGTCCCTTGCTTCTGTGTTTGTTTGTTTTGTTGTTGGTGTTGTTTTGTTTTGTTTTTGCTTTTACAAATTCCTTTCTTCTTGGGCCAAACCCTGTTTTTAGCCACTGAACAGACACATCCCTGCTGTGTGTAGGGTTCCTCTGTCCAGCTCTTGTGGTAGCTGGACCTGCAATGTCCTTCTTTCTGCTAGGATCCCAATTCCTGTTCCTCCATCTGCATGTCTCTCACCCTTCCTGCATGTACCCAGACCAGCCTCCTGCGGGTCCAGGACCTTCCTCCCTGTCTGACTCCACTCTTGTCTGCTCTCTTCCTCAGGAACGGAATGCAGAGAACGCCATCGAGGCACTTAAAGAGTATGAACCTGAGATGGGGAAGGTCTATCGGGCTGACCGAAAGTCAGTGCAAAGGATCAAGGCCAGGGACATCGTCCCCGGGGATATCGTAGAGGTGGCTGGTAAGGGCTGGAATGGGTGCTTCAGGGAGGACGCCTTGGGTCTGAGGCCAAGAAGAGAGCAGGGGACCTGTCAGCCCCGATCCTGGATCTCTGAGGATGGTGGCGTCTTTGCTTCTCCTTCCCAGACTCCTCAGGGGTCACTCCAGGACATTCAGGCCACAGCACCCCTCCCTGCAAGAGTCTCAATAGGAACAGCTAGTCCTGTCCCTGAGGCAGCAGACAGACCCCCGTCCCCCCTCCCCTCGGCCAACACTTGCAAGCAACAGGTGGAAGCCAGTCCCTGCCAATGGCCCCATCTCCACCCCTTCCCGAGCCTGGCTCCCCTCTCCTTCCACCCACCACAAGCTTGGTCAGCTTTCAGTCTTGACCCCTTAGTGCCCTTGAGGCCTCTCAAAGGGGAAGGAATGGGAGTAGAAGGGAGTGGGGGTGGAGTGGGAGGGGGGTGGACGACTACTCCCACCACCATGTAAGGTAACTCCTAGTCCTCCACCAGCTAAGAGCACGGGACCCGAGAGGAGGGCGCTCAAGGAGGGCCCTGCCCCCTCAGGGACACTTAATGCCGACTCAGGGAGGGGTGGGGCTGGCTAGCTAAGATTACTGGGATTCTGCCCCCTTCAGCGCTTTTTATATTTGCCCTGAGCAGGCCTTTCCACCTCCTTAGGCACCTAGTTTGGTGAATGTGTATGTCATACCATGTCACCCTCTATATACCATGTTAACACCAGGAGAAGCCTAGGGTGGAGAGCTGGTGGGCTGGAGGCCCCATAGCCCCGTCCCAGGGCAGTCCTGCTATGGTGACAGTTTGGGGTCAGTGCCATGAATGTCTATAAATACCACTTGGACTTCGGTGACAAGGGTGTCTGCCTGACTCCATTGCTGACCCCCTCCCTCCTCCTGCTTCCTCTGGTACTGGCGGAGGGACCTTAGAAACCAAGAGAAAGGAAAGCAAGTGAACTTCGCCCCAATTCCACCCGTGAGACCAAGGTAGCTTTAGGCAGAGGCCTGAGGAGGTGTGCGTCTGTCCCCTAAAAGGTCTCTAGTCTGGCCGAGTGTCTTCCTCAGCCCCTGCCAAGGTGCTTTCACAGTCTGCCTTTCCACTTCCCACGGTCGGGAATGCGCCCTCACACTTCCTCCTGACCATTCTTTTCGGCTTCATGCTCCACTTTCGGTCTTGCTTGGCCTGGATTTTCCCAGCATCCACCTTGCTCTCCGATCCTCCCAGTCACCCTCTTTTCTTCTGAGTTACATCATTCCGTGTCCTTCTTTACCTTCCTCTTGTTTCCCTTTCTCAGTTTTAGCTGGCTTGTCCCCAGTTTTCAGTTCAGTTACCAAGAATACATTTAATGAGTACACACTACTACACTCCAGGGATCTTGGGAGCTTCCCTTCGCAGACTTGCAGCCAGGGGGAAGAGAAGCATTTCATGGGAGGACACCAGGATAGTATCTCTGGGGTGGAGACGGAGTGTGCTGAAGGCCTATGAACAACCGAATGCTGTAGGGGCTGAAGGATGGATGGTGTGAGGGAAGCAGAGACTGGAAGGAAGGAAGGAAGCTCCATTCCCTGCTGAACTTGCTCCTCTCTCTACAGTGGGGGACAAAGTCCCGGCAGATATCCGCATCCTCTCCATCAAATCCACCACCCTCCGGGTCGACCAGTCCATCTTGACAGGTAGGCGAAGGCATAGTGAGGAAGGAGCCAGGCAGGCAGCCAGAGGGAAGGTTTCGGGTGGATGAAGGGCATCCCGCATCAGGGCCTCTCTTTAGTTCTGAGGTAGCATCGTCGGTGTGGCTCAGTCTTCATTCCGTCACAAGGAGCATGGAAGAGGATGTCTGTGACCATTTCCGTATAGTCTTTGCCCTACACCTTCCGCATGGACATAGGAACACACCCCCTACCACAAACTGTCCTGTCCTCTCCAACATCCTGAAAACTCCTCGAATGAGGGATTCTGGGATAGGGTGGGGACTCTGGGAGGGAGACAGTGTAAACTGGACCCGCAGCAGGAGGACCTGAGCCTCTGTCCTTGGTGAGGACGCCACACTGGTCGTCCCTTAGGACTGGGTCGTGCAGTTGATAAGCGCCCCACAGTCGCTGGTTTGTTTGGTTGTCACTGGGACGTGGGGAGCAAATGGAAGTTAAGTGATCGAAGTCACACACTAGGCTTGGTCGGTGTCTTTTAACTCTAGAGGCCATGGACTTGCCACTTGCCCTGGTCACCTTCCTCTAGAGGCAAGACTGCCAGAGTGTGTGCGTGCTGGTTGCGAAGTGTCAGAATGTTAGGGACAGAGACATGATGTCACCTGAAAACGCTCTGGTCCTTCCTCCATAGGAGAGTCTGTATCTGTCATCAAGCACACAGATCCTGTCCCTGACCCCCGAGCTGTCAACCAGGACAAGAAGAACATGCTCTTCTCAGTAAGCAGTCACATGACCACTTCTCAGTAAGCAGTCACATGACCGTTTCTCAGTAAGCAGTCACATGACCAGCCAGAGGAGCTGGGTGTGGAGGGAATCATGGCAGCGGAAGAAGAGATGAGGCCCCTAGCTTGTGGCCTAAGGAACATCTCTTGCCTGACCCTGCTCCTTCCTCACCTTCCCAGGGTACCAACATTGCAGCCGGCAAGGCCGTGGGCATTGTGGCCACCACTGGTGTGAGTACTGAGATTGGCAAGATCCGAGACCAAATGGCTGCCACTGAGCAGGACAAGACCCCACTGCAGCAGAAGCTTGACGAGTTTGGGGAGCAGCTGTCCAAGGTCATCTCCCTCATCTGTGTGGCCGTCTGGCTTATCAACATTGGTCACTTCAATGACCCTGTCCATGGAGGCTCCTGGTTCCGGGGGGCCATTTACTATTTCAAGATTGCTGTGGCTTTGGCTGTGGCAGCCATCCCAGAAGGTAAGGCAATGGTTCCTGGGCCTCTGTTATCTCATTGGCAAAAATATTTCAAGATAAAGTAACAATGACGGGTCCCATGGAGAATGTCCTGATAACTTTGGTGGCTGTGGTGTAGCAGCCACACTAGGTCTCTCTCCTCCTGGTTTGCTTACACCATCTCTATCCCCATAGGGCTTCCTGCTGTCATCACCACCTGCTTGGCCTTGGGTACCCGCCGGATGGCAAAGAAGAACGCCATCGTGAGGAGCTTGCCCTCTGTGGAGACCCTGGGCTGTACCTCTGTCATCTGCTCTGACAAAACAGGGACCCTCACCACTAACCAGATGTCGGTCTGCAAGGTGAGGAGACACAGAGGCGGGGCAGCAGGAGCCCTCTGAGGACGGGCTTCTGTACTGGTGTACAGAAGGGAGTGTACTGGTGTACTCAAGGGAGATTGAGTGCCACCCTTAGATCAAGCCAAGAGCCATGTTAGTGTGCTTTCTCTTTCTCTCATAAAACCACCTTGGGGAGGAGAGGGTTGATTTGGCTGGTGTGTCCCTATCACCGGCCATCAGGGAGGGAAGCCAGGACAGGAACTCAAGCAGGAACAGAGGCCGGAACCATGGAGGAAGCTGCCTGCCAGCCTGCTTTCTGTTGCTCTGATATATAGCATGACCAAAAACAACTCTGGGAGGAGATGCTTTGTTTCCTCTGTAACTTCAGTCCATCACTGAGGGAAAGCCAAGGCAGAAACTCAAACTAAGGAGCCTGAAGCAAACACCACGGAGGAGCAGAGGAAGGCTGCTTACTGGCTTGCTCCCTCTGGTTTGCTTAGTCTGCTCTCTCTCTCTCTCTTCTTTTCTTTGATTTTTAAAAATTAATTAATTAATTAATTATGTATACAATATTCTGTCTGTGTATATGTCTGCAGGCCAGAAGAGGGCACCAGACCTCATTACAGATGGTTGTGAGCCACCATGTGGTTGCTGGGAATTGAACTCAGGACCTCCGAAAGAACAGCCAGTGTTCTTAACCTCTGAGCCATCTCTCCAGCCCTCTTTGATTTTTTTTTTTTTTTGAGACAGGGTTTCTCTGTGTAGTTTTGGAGCCTGTCCTGGAACTCACTCTGTAGACCAGGCTGGCCTCGAACTCACAGAGATCCCACCTGCCCCTGTCTCCTGAGTGCCGGGTTTAAAAGTGTGCGCCACCACCACCTGGCATAGCCTGCTTTCTTATACATCCCAGGATCACCTGCCTATGGTGGCCTAGGCCTTTGCACATCAATCATTAGTCAAGAAAATGTCCCTACACTAATCTGAAGGAGGCAGTCCCTCTTCCCAGGTAACTCTAATTGTGTCAGGTCAACAATGACAACGACGACAACAGAGCAGCCATCCCAGTCCTCACCCCTATGCTGTGTTTCTCTCTGATCCTCTACACTAGCCAATCCAGGGACGTTCTCTTTAACCTCACCTTCCAGAAAGTAACTGAGGCTTAGGGAGATTTAGGGGTTTACCGGAAGATACCAAGTTTATAAATGGTGGAGCCAAACATAGTGGTGTCTGTCTGTTATCCTTGTACTCAGGAGGTGAGGGCGGGGACGTTATGAATGTGAGACCTGCCTTGGCTATGGCTTAAGGCCAACTAGGCCCTGCCTTATGGAGTCTGGAGTCTCAGCTACTTGGGAAGTTGGGATACAAAGATTACTTCCACTGAGGAGTTCAAGGAACAGTGAGATTTTGTCTTAAAAAAAAAAAAAAAGTAGCAGAATTGAGTTCCAAAACCAAGAACGCTCTGTAGCTTCTGCTGTGTGCTAGTACCCCGCGAGTGGCCACTTCATGACGGGGCCAGCCAGCCTGGCCGTACTGGTCCCGAACAGCATCTCTTTAAGAAGTTTAAAAGTATTTATTATTTCAGAGAGAGTGAACGTGTATTCATTCTCTACTCTCACCATGCATGTTTCGGGGATTGAACTCAGGTCATCAGGCTTGGTGGCAAGCGCCTCTACCCGCTGAGCTGCTTAACTGGCCCCTAAACAGCCAGCTAGCCCTTTCCCTTTTTCAAGGCAGGGTCTCTTTATGTAGCCTTGGCTGGCCTGGAACTTGCTCTGTGGTCCAGGCTGGCCTCAGACTCACAGAGCTTCCCTGCCTCCACCTCCTGAGTGCTGGGACTGAAGGCGTGTGCCACCATACCCAGCCAGTATTCTTTTTTTAAACCGGAAAAATAGAGAAGGTTACAAAATAAGCCATTGATTGAAATACAGCTATCAAAATATTTTTTTTAAATATTTTACTTATTTATTATGTATACAGCATTCTGCTTCCATGTATACCTGCAGGCCAGAAGAGGGTGCCAGATCTCATTACAGATGGTTGTGAGCCACGATATGGTTGCTGGGAATTGAACTCAGGTCCTCTGGAAGAACAGTCAATGCTCTTAACCACTGAGCCATCTCTCCAGCCCTATCAAAATATTTTTAATTTAGCACTATCTGTTTCTTTATTCAGAACAAGCCCTGGCAGTGGGTCTAGTGTCTGAGTGCTGCCCAGAGTGAGAACTCAGGAAAGCCAGGGTGACAGACAGGCGTCTGTGGTCCCGTCCTATAGAGCCACTGCCTTCATTTAGAGGTTTTTCTTTTTTTTTTTTTTTCCCATCAGAGTGTTTCCAAGGTTGTTTTGACCTGTCGGTCTCAAGTGATCCTCCCACTTTAGGCCCTCAATAGCTGGGCCTACAAGTCTGTACCACCCCATTCAACCCAAAGCCACAGGTGGTACTAATTCTGATGTGATCTTCCACTGTGTTCATAACTGGAAGGAAATGCTACTTGTTAGGGAAAAAAAAAAGAGCTATTTGAATTTTTTAATTTTTTATTTATTATTTTTTTTTGTCCTCTAAGAATGTCCACCTCTCTCTTTCCCTCTCTTCCCAGGGTAGGGTCTCATGTAGCCCAGGCTGAGGCTGGCATTGAACTCCTGATTCTCTTGCCTCCAACTTTCAAGAGCTGGGATTGCAGACTTATGCTACCATGCTTAGCTTCCCTGGCTCTTTTAGGTTTTAGCCACTGATGCCCCTACCTGCCCTAAGCAGAGTTCTGTGGACTATTGTGACTTTAATATAGAATGACTTTTCTGTCGGGCTGAGGACACAGCTCAGTGACAGAGCGCAAGCCTAGCACGCATGAGGCCCTGCCTTCGCCCCAGCACTGGAGGAATAAATGAATGAATGAATGAGTGAATGGACGAAAGCCTGGTGTAAGTAATGCCTGACACAGGAGGATTGCCAGGAGTTTAAAGCCAGCCTTGTGAGTTCCAGGAGAACCTGGGCCCCCTGATGAGGTCTTGTTTCAAAAAGTAAATGAATGCTGGGTAGTGGTGGCACATGCCTTTAATCCTAGCATTTGGGAGACAGAAGCAGGCAGATCTCTGGGTTTTGATTCCGAGGCTGGCCTGGAACAGAGCCAGGACAGCCGGGGCTACACTGGACAGCCTGTGTTGAAAAACCAAAATCCAATCCAAACCAAATCAAACCAAACCAAAACAACCCCCTCCCCAAATTGAACAAAAATAAGTAAATAAATAAAAATTGAAAAATGACGCTTGGAAGAACAAAGAATTTGAGGTGGGACTGAGATGAAGTGGACTGTGTAGGCAGAGTGAGTCACTGTCCTGAGCATCATGTCCTTTGCTTGTCTCTCACACACGGGCTTCACAGCCAGAACACAGTCTTGCAGGACTGTCTCCCTATAAAAATGACAATGTCATAGGAAAAGGAGTCAGGAGGCTGCAGATGGAGCCGCTGCTCGCAGGTTCATTGGCCCCAGTCTCTGTCACACCCTGCTGCACACATCTGTGAACTGATCTGGGGAAAGCCTAGCATAGCCCTCAATAACTGGTTTTTAAGGCCACTGACAAGGAACATGGAATCACTGTAAAACCCTGGGGTGACAGGGACCAGCACGGGTCAAGGAGAAGAGAACAGGGAAGTGGGGGGTGCTGGGGTATTCGCTTAGTCTGAACTTGAGGACGCCTGCTCCCAGGGATGGGGATGTGGAATATCATTGTGTGGTCCTTCTCCCCCACAGATGTTCATCATCGACCGGGTGGATGGGGATGTCTGCTCGCTGAATGAGTTCTCCATCACTGGCTCCACATATGCTCCCGAAGGAGAGGTGTAAGTCATCCAGGAGTCTCCCCCGTGCCGTGTGTGTACCCCACCTCCCTCACTTGGGATCTCCTGCTAGTCCCCCCTTCCTTTTCACTCCCTTCTCTCCCAACCTGTTCTCTCCCACCCTATCTTCCAAGTTCATCACCATCTCCTCTCCTTCCCAATACCTGTCTGCTTCTCTGTGCTGTCTGCATCTCACGTTCTGTTCTCCACCGTTTCTCTCCTGCCTTCCTTCCTACCTTGCTGCCAGTTTGAAGAATGATAAACCAATTCGAGCAGGGCAGTATGATGGGCTGGTGGAGCTGGCCACCATCTGTGCCCTCTGCAATGACTCCTCCTTGGACTTTAATGAGGTAACCTTCCATCCCCAAAGCCACCCCTTCCATGCCTGTGGCTCAGTCTGTGCTTCCTGGGCATTCCAGGAGGAAGGGGTCTTAGGAAGTGAACATACATTCGAGAGAAGGAAGCAGTTGGCTTCTTGTTGTTCCATCCAGATGAAGATGGGGGTGTTGGGTGAGGACGGGAGATCCAGGCACACACTTCCTCATCCTCCTCTGTCTATTTTAGACCAAAGGTGTTTACGAGAAGGTAGGCGAGGCCACGGAGACAGCCCTCACTACCTTGGTGGAGAAGATGAATGTGTTCAACACTGAAGTGAGAAGCCTCTCGAAAGTGGAGCGGGCTAATGCCTGCAACTCGGTGAGTCGGGGTGCCCTCCGCAGGCCCGGACCCCAGATCCAGACAGACCCAGACAGACAGAGCATTGTGTTTGTGTTGGGACCCCAACTAGGTAGGCAGTGGCTTCACCCACAGCTTTTCCAAGCCAGGCTGAACTCTGGGGAAACTCCTTCTCCCCATAGTGATATGGTTTCTGTTGTCTGGCCATAATATCCTGGGAGGTCACTTCCTTTTGTGACCCAAGGTTGAACAGAGCTGGACAGAAATCATGGTGTCGCCTACTGGGTTGGCCCTGAGTTTAGCTATAGTGCTTTGGTTTCCATCAGATCTCAGGTCTTGTTGGGGGGTCTGGACTGTGCAGCCATCGATCCTACAAGATGAGGTCTTCTCTGGGAAACAAAGCCAGCGCTGCCACTCAGTGGACTCTGGCTGTGAACACTTGCTGGTTTCTGAGTATTAGGTTACTTATATCGCTCTTTCTTGACATCCTCCTGCCTCAATCTCCCCATGCTGGTATTAACAGTGTGTACCATCATGGCTGGCTTTCTTCATCTCTTCCTATACTTCTTCATTGGTACTAGGAAGTGCAACCCAGAAATTTACATGTGCTGGGAAAATATTTCTTTCCTTTTTTTTTTTTTCTTTCTCATGACAGGGTTTCTCTGTAGCTTTGGAGCCTGTCCTGGAACTAGCTCTTGTAGACCAGGCTGGCCTCAAACTCACAGGGATCCGCCTGCCTGCCTCTGACTCCCGAGTGCTGGGATTAAAGGCATGTGGCATCACCGCCTGGCTTAAAATTTTTTTTTATTGCTTCTTTAAATTTTTCCTCTCTGTATGTGCAAACTACACACTGCTGCTTTGTTTATGATGTCTTTGTGTGTGGTGAGGGCGTATGAGGTGTAACGGGCGCTAAGTGTATTGTATGTGGAAGTCAGAGAACTTTGGGGAGTTGGTTCTTGTCTTTCACCGTGGGTTTTGGAATCAAACTCAGGCTTGTATGGTTATCAGGTTTGTGTGGCAAGTGCTTTAACCCTCTGAGCATCTGCTTTAGTTAATATAACAAAAAGGTGAAACTAATTTTTTTTTTCCAGCGTTAAGGATGAGTTGAGGCTTCACGCCTGCTGGGCAAATGCTCTTTTGGCTGCCACCTCTTGTTATGTTTATTTGGTTCTTTGGAGGTTTATTTGTATATAGTGCTAGGATTGAGCCCCAGCCCCTCACGTTCTAGGTGTGTGCTTTACCACTAAGTAAAGCCCTGGTCCCATCCACAACATAGTTTGGTAAATAAAGGCTCTTCTTTTCCTCCTCCTCCTCCTTCTGCTTTGTTTTGAGATAAAGCCTTGTTGCGCAGCCCAGATTGGTCTTGAGCTCACAGCAGTGCTCCAGCGTTAGTCTGCAAGTGCTGGGATTATAGGCATAGCTCACCATGCTTGGCTGTGGCTCTCATTCACTTTTCACTGTGTGCTGGGCACTAGGCTATATGTTATTTATATTCAAATTAGAGGTACTTGGGAAGCAGAGGCAGAAGAATTACTCTAAGCTCAACACCAACCTGAACTATAGTGAGAGACCCTGTTTCAAAAAGAGTCTTGGTCATACTGGCTGTTTCCCACGGGCACCACATCCGGTGGTGCAGACTACATTTCTTTGGTCCCTGCGTGTTCTATTGGGTAGCGGCATGCAAGGCTACTCTGTTTCTGTTGTGCTTTAAACTGGACACCCGAACTTTGGGTGTGGCTCGGTGGTAGAGCACTTGCCTAGCATGTGGGAGTCATGAATTCTATCCTCAGTACTACAAAACTGAAAATCAAACGGCCCACGGCGGCAACGGTGCACGCCAGTCCTGGAGTTTCTGTGTTTGACTTGTGGGTACCAGGCTTCGCTCTAGGCTCAGGCTCACACAGGCTCTACGCTGACATCCAGATCCTTTCGGACGGTTTTAAAGGGATCTGGTCTTTACCTCCCAGGTGATCCGCCAACTAATGAAGAAGGAATTCACCCTGGAATTCTCCCGCGACAGAAAGTCTATGTCTGTTTACTGTTCGCCAGCTAAGTCTTCTCGGGCTGCTGTAGGAAACAAGATGTTTGTCAAGGTCAGAAGCCTTCTCTCTCTAACGTTGGGACTCTTTCCTGTGCCTGCCCTCTGTACTTGGGAAGGCAGCAAGGGTCTCTGAATGATGTTCTGGTTTTCTAGGGTGCCCCCGAGGGGGTCATCGACCGCTGTAACTATGTGCGTGTTGGCACAACCCGTGTGCCATTGACAGGCCCGGTGAAGGAAAAGATCATGTCAGTGATCAAGGAGTGGGGGACTGGTCGGGACACCCTACGCTGCCTGGCCCTGGCCACCCGGGACACCCCCCCTAAACGAGAGGAGATGGTTCTAGATGACTCAGCCAAGTTCATGGAGTATGAGGTGAGCTGGCAAAGGTCTCTTTGTTTTGGGAATTGTGTCGAGGCGGGTTTCCCGATGGCTCTATCTTCCCTGCCACCATCCTGCATCAAGTCGATGGCTGTGTACCATGAATCCCCAGCTCACAGGGCATTAAGGTGTGACAGTTTTATGAATCGGATCTAACCCAGCCCTCAGGAGACTGAGGTAGGCCAGCCTCCATGACACAAGCAACCGCGAAAACAGAAGTCAAGAGAAGAGAACCACTTAGTCCAGTACTGTTTTTGTGTGGGGCTGGGACGGGTACCCAGGGGAGACAGATGTGCGGTGCCCTGGTGCATCTGCAGCCACAGTCCACGCTAACTGTGCTCTGTGGAGCGGAGATGGTACTTACCAGAAGGGTACTTACCGTGCAGTGTATGAGCTTGTTTTCAGGCAATGGATGTACTTCCCGATGCAGGCTTCCCTCTTGCTGTGGACTCTCAACAACCCCAAAAGCTCACTGTCTGCATTTATGGGGGTGGAGTGGGGACTATGGCCTGCCAGCTATTGGGGATATGCTCAGAGTGATGGGCCGGTGGCAGGTTTGCTAAAAAGAGATGCTACCATGTAGTTTTTCTTTTTCTTTTCTTGTCCTCCTCTTTTCTTCTTGTTGAGACGGTGTCTTGTTATGTAGCCAGGGCTGGCCCTGAACTCACTCATGATCTTCTCTTTACCTCCTGGGTGCTGGAATCACAGGTTACCAACCATGCCCAGCTTCAGCTCTCCTTTTTGCAGCAGGCCTTGGCATTGCCAGGATATGCAGGCATTAAGGAAGGAGAAATGTCTCCTGCCTGTGCTTCCAGGGCCCTGCTGATGTCTAACACCAGGCCTCAAGGCAGCATGCTCTGGTTTTTCCAGCGTTGCTACCCATCTCCCTCTGAACTTCCTCCTGCTTGTCCTCACTCCCTCTTTGTCCTGTCACCGCCTTTTCCAGATGGACCTGACATTTGTTGGTGTTGTGGGCATGCTGGATCCACCCCGCAAGGAAGTCACAGGCTCTATCCAGCTGTGCCGCGATGCTGGGATCCGAGTAATCATGATCACCGGGGACAACAAGGGGACAGCCATTGCCATTTGCCGACGAATTGGCATCTTTTCGGAGAATGAGGAGGTGACAGACCGTGCCTACACTGGCCGTGAGTTTGACGATCTGCCCCTGGCTGAGCAGCGGGAAGCCTGCAGACGCGCCTGCTGCTTTGCCCGTGTGGAGCCCTCACACAAGTCCAAGATTGTGGAGTACCTGCAGTCCTATGATGAGATCACAGCCATGGTAAGAAGTTCCAGAGGCTGTCTGGGTCAAGGCTCTTGGGGAGGGGAACATAAGGCATCTGGAATTTTGAGTTTCTCACTGTCTCCTTTCGCCTTCAGACAGGGGATGGTGTCAATGATGCCCCTGCCCTGAAAAAGGCTGAGATTGGCATTGCCATGGGCTCTGGTACTGCTGTAGCTAAGACAGCCTCCGAGATGGTACTGGCTGATGATAACTTCTCCACTATCGTGGCTGCTGTGGAGGAGGGCCGCGCCATCTACAACAACATGAAGCAGTTCATCCGCTACCTCATTTCCTCCAACGTGGGCGAGGTGGTCTGGTAAGTAGCCGGGGCAGGCATCCAGAAAATACAGGGCTGAAAGGGGTGATCATGGGACTTGGAACAGGACCAACGTACGACCTCCTTCCTCTGGCAGCATCTTCCTGACAGCCGCCTTGGGGCTGCCTGAGGCCCTGATCCCTGTGCAGCTGCTATGGGTGAACCTGGTGACTGATGGGCTCCCTGCTACCGCTCTGGGATTCAACCCACCTGACCTGGACATCATGGACCGTCCCCCCAGGAGTCCCAAGGAGCCTCTCATCAGTGGCTGGCTCTTCTTCCGCTACATGGCAATTGGGGGTGAGCAGGAAGGGACTCAACAACCCTTCTGAGCCCTTGGGACTGACCTTGTCCCTGATCTCAGCTTCTCCCGAGTCAAGCTGCCCAAAGGGGCCCCTTCCTTAGCCAGCTGTCTCCAGCTGTGTAAGGCCCGCCTGATACCTCTCACCTCCTCAGCCCTGACCCCAGCTCCTCTCTTCTTCCCAACACAGGCTATGTGGGTGCAGCCACTGTGGGAGCAGCTGCCTGGTGGTTCCTGTATGCAGACGATGGGCCTCATGTCACCTACCACCAGCTGGTAGGAAGATGGAGCGGTGGGGACTGGGAGGCATCCCGAAGGCTGTTGTAGATCTCAGGCTTCTGTCTCTTCCTTTACAGACTCACTTCATGCAATGCACTGAGCACAACCCTGAATTCGACGGCCTGGACTGTGAAGTCTTTGAGGCCCCTGAGCCCATGACCATGGCCCTGTCGGTGTTGGTGACTATTGAAATGTGCAATGCTCTCAACAGGTAGGTCCTGTCCACTTGGGTGGACCCTGATACGCCTTCCACCTCTCTTCTCCCGCCACTCTGCCTCACCACATCTTTCTGTGTATCCCTGTCCCTCCATGTGCCTGGCCTTTGCCGCAGCCTGTCTGAGAACCAGTCCCTGCTGCGGATGCCGCCCTGGGTGAACATCTGGCTGCTGGGTTCCATCTGCCTGTCCATGTCCCTCCACTTCCTCATCCTCTATGTTGACCCCCTGCCGGTGAGCCTTCTGTTACCGCCCCTCCCCGACTCCAGGGAGCCCAAGCAGAGTTTGTGACCATAGGGTGCTCACAGAGGAGGGCAGTTCACAGCACTCTGGTTCTTCTTTTCTTCCTGAGAAAACCCTTTGTCTTTCCTGATGACTGTTGTCTCCACCCTAGATGATCTTCAAGCTCCGGGCCCTGGACTTCACCCAGTGGCTCATGGTCCTCAAGATCTCGCTTCCGGTCATCGGGCTAGACGAGCTTCTCAAGTTCATTGCTCGGAACTATCTGGAGGGTAAGAGACATCCCTTTTCCCTGGTACCCATGCCTGAGCAGAGCCCCTGCCCTCTTGCGCTGCGAATATGCGCCACACCTCACTCCCTCTTCCTTTGCAGGTGGGTAAGTTCTCTTAGGCCCTGGCAGGACCAGTGTCCCCAGGGAGGGCAGGCCAAGCTCTGTCCCACTCCATGACTGGTGGGGTTTTCCCCCAGCCTGCTCAGCCCTATGGCCCTGTGGGCCTCCTTCCCCCTTGATAACGGCCTCTCTCTGTCCTCTCTGGCCATAGGATAACCGTCCCCCTCCTCCATGTCTCTGAACGTGTCACAGGTATTTCCCTACACACCTTGCCCCAGCTGCTGTACCCTGCCGCTCGCCCACCAGCCCACGCGCACCCCTGCGGTCACTTGCGCTCGCAGCTCTCCCTGGAGCCACTGCTGCTGTTGCCACTGCCCGCTTCCACAGGAGGGCCATGCCCTTCCTGTGGGCACAGGCAGCTGTGAGGCTGCATCCTGGCCTTCCAGTCTGCTGGGCTGCGCTGCGTTGCGCTGGCTGTCTCTGCTGCTGGGGCGGCGGTGGTGGCTGGGGGCGGGCTGGGGTCTGGCACACACAGGTGAGTAGGGAAGGGGGGCCGCAGGCCCCTCCAGGTGAGTGTGATGGAGACGCACAAGGCACAAGGAGACGCAGCTCTCCCTCGTGTGCACGCCTGCTCCATCCCCTTCCTTTCTTCTTCCAGATCCAGAAGATGAAAGAAGGAAGTAAACAGCCCTTTCGCCCTGCCGTCCCCACCCTCATAGCAATGCATCTTCAGCCAGAGCTGAGACACAGACCCTTTTTCTCCCCCAATTCTGTTTATAAACAAAGTTCCCTGACCCTCTTCCCCCTTCAGCAACCTGCCCTCCCTCTGAACCTGTACATCCCTTCCCAACCTCATGGGGCTTGCAGGGACAAGGCGACTGACTGAGCTGAGCTGCTTATTTATTCAAAATAAATGACAGAAAAGTCTGGCCTTGCCTCCGTATATCTCGGGTCCTATTTCCGGTGCCTGTGGACAGATACCTTAGTGTCATACAGTCCGGAAAGCAGCTGCGTGTCCCAGGGTCTCTGTGTGAGGAATCCGCTGATAACAACAGCGGCTAGCCACAAGCTAAGCGTGCCCCAGACCGGGACGGGCTGCTGGCTAGAGGTGGCAGGGCGGGAAGGCAGGATCCATGAGGCAGCATGGCAGCCTGAAAGCTACAGGGCTCAGCCTGTACTTTGGTTCTGGAAGGAGGCTGGGACCCTCATCCAGGTGTCATCCCTGAGAGCAGGTCCAGCCACCGTGGCTGGAAGTAGTGGCCCTGGTGACACTACCATCCAGACCTGGAGTGGGTGGGCTCCATTCTGAGACCTGTCCTTGTCTCACAGTTCTGGTAGAGAAAGAGGCGGCTTCCCCAGCAGGGAAGCTTCTCGCCTGGCTCCTCAGGAGTCCTTGATGTCCTTGATATCCCTGAGGGGTGCCTCATCCAGGATGCTATGCACTTGCTCCAGAGTCTCTGCTTGGCGAATCCGCTCCAGGCGTACCTGTGTGATTGGGTGGGAGATTTGAAAAGCCCCACCAAGGAAACAGCCCCTGCCTGACCAGCCAGCCTCTCAGGGGTCAGCTCTGCAGAGGCAATGTGTTCAGATGGGGTCAAAGGAAGGAATACACCCAGGAGCTTGGCCTGAGGAAGTCTGGGTATTGTTGGCCATTCATGAGGCTGACAACATGAAGCTGTCATGCAGCTGAGGTGTGCAAGAGAGCTTCCATGTTTTTGAGCAATAGCTTAGAGGGAAAGATCATGCCAGGTCTAGAAAAAGGACCTCTCCTAATTGGGGACTGCCTTTGTGAGACCCAGGACAAGTCACCCATAGCCAAACCAGCCAGGTAGGAAAGGCCAGGCCATACCTGTAGGGCCTGGGACAGCCGTACAAAGTCCCTTTGCACCTGTTCACTGGTCTCCAGCTCGGCTTGCAGACGCAGTGCCTTGGCCCTCTGCTCAGAGAGGAGGTCTGTGAGCTGGGCCTGCAGGGACAAGATGCAGAGCTGGGGCCTGACTCATCTTTGACTAAATGAGAGGGTGGATGGCCAGAGCCACGGGATGACCCACACTGGTGTCCCTTCAATACCACCAGACTCTGGCCTCCTCTGGCTGAAGCCAGGTGGCTGACGCAGGGCTTCCTGGTCTGAGGGAGACAGGAAAGCTGTGAGGGTGGCATAACCACACAGCTGTGTTAGCCAAGCCATGGCACTGGGTGCCACTCACCTTGCGCTGCTCTTGCTGGACCCGCTCTGTCTCTGTCCTCAGGCTGCACAGGGAGGCTGGGAAGTCAAGGAGCAGGGAGACCGGAAGTCAGGCTCACGTGGTCCCAGCCCTGCTGGCGCAGCCCTCCACAAGGCGCTGACCCTTACTCACCCTGTAGCACATCTGCGGGAGTAAGAGAGAGACAGAGAGGTCAAAGCTGGATCTCCACTGCACCCCCTGACGCCCATGCCTGACCCTGGGGACCCTACCTGTCTCTTCTCGTTGCACCCTCAGCTGTCCCTCCAGGCTGGCCCTGGCTGCTGTCTCCTCGTCTAGCGCCTCCCGCAGCTTCACGATTTCAATGCGCAGGCGCTCGGCCTCATGCTCCTGTGCCTGTTGCCTGGCTCGCGCCTGTTGCCGGGTATGCCGCACTAGCAGATGAAGCTCCTGCGAGAGACACGAGGGGTCTGCTGGGCACAGGGGCAGAGAGGAGGGCAGGGACCGCTGGAGAGTGTAGGAACAGGAGGGAGGAGCCAAACGCCACAGTCAGGGCGGTGAGCAAGCTGCAGAGATAGGTGGGATGCCACATGTATGGAGGACGTTCAAGAACAGTGTGGAAAGTTCCAGAATACCTAGAAGCTTCCAAACCACTCAAGTTAAGTTCTCCATTATGTTCATAATGAAACTACAATAAAAGGAGAGCAGGGAGGGCTGGAGGGGGGCGGGGTCTGGTTCAGTTGATAGGGTGCTCATCTAGCAGGCATAAGCCCTATGTTTGATCTCCAGTGCTGTATAAAAACCGAGGATGGTGCCAGGGTAGTGGTGGTACATGTCTTTAATCCCATCACTAGGAAGGCAGAGGGAGGAGGAGCTCTGTGAGTTCAAGGCCAGCCTGGTCTACAGAGCAAGTTCCAGGAAAAGCTCCAAAGCAACATAGAGAAACCCTGTCTCAAAAACAAAACAAAACAAAACAAAACACCAAAAAAATAAAACCAAAAAACCCCAAAAACATACAGGAAATGGAGAAATGGAAAATCAAAGACTGCGGGGGCACTTTCACTGACGTGAAAGTGAACACAAGCAATAATCTTCAGGGTAGAGAGAACAACCAGGTGACCTTTAGTTCATGAACAAATTGTTTATAAACTAAAATCAACACAGACCACTGTGGAGGACAGGTTCAAAGACTCCGAAGAATTTAATCTTAAGGACCGAAGGTCATTTAAAAATAGCAAACAGTAGTCAGGCAGTGGTGGATGCCTTTAATTCCAGCACTCGGGAGGTAGAAGCAGGTGGATCTCTGTGAGTTCGAGGCCAGCCTGGTCTACAAGAGCTAGTTCCAGGACAGGTTTCAAAGCTACAGAGAAACCCTGTCTCAAAAAACCAAAAAAAAAAAAAAAAAAAAAAAAAAAAAAAAAAAAAAAAAAAAAAAAGAAAAAGAAAAAGAAAAGAAAAAAGAAAAAATCTAAAATGGCCTGTGATTCTACACTCAGGAGGTCAGCCTGTCTCAAAGAGAAACCCTGTCTCCAAAAGCAAACCAACAAACAAGCAAACAAACAAAATGAAGGGCTCAAGGTCTGGTTCAGTGGAGCAGTGCTTGTCCAGCCTGCTTGGGGCTGCAGTTAATCCCTTGCAGTGAGGGCAGTGCGAGCAGCATGGGGTGCGGTAAAAATGGCGGACATAATCCTTGCGACCAACACTTTTAATTCTTTATTTCCATGCCAACCCTGGGAAGCTGGTATGGTTCCATTTATCAGATGAAGAAAACGAGTCTTAGACACGGCTAATACACGAGGACCAGGGTCCGTCCTCGGGTCCTTGGGAGGAGACAGCCGCAGGCTGGCATCAGGTACTCTGGTGCCGTTTACCTGTATGGAGCTGGGCAGGGCCTCGCCCTCATTCTCCCACTGCTCTGGGCCCTGGAGGGTGGAGGATGGCAGCTGCTCGGCACGAAGCCCTTGGTTTTCTTCGTTCAGTCTTTTAACCTCATGGTGCAGGCACTTGTGAGAAGTAGCCAGCTCTGCCTGGGGACATACCGAAGTATAAGACGATCAGAGGACTGTGTCTCTCTAGTCTCTGTGGCTAAACCCAGAGCCCCCGCTAGCCTGATTTCTGGAAAGCCCTGGCCTCCTGACCTGCTGAAAAGAAGATCCCCCCCCCTTTTTTTTGAGACAGAAGGTTTCTCTGTACATCCCTGGCTGTCCTGGAACTTGCTTCGTAGTCCAGGCTGGCCTCAAGGGATTAATGGTGCGTGCTGTTACTGACTGGCCTAAGAAGAAACTACTGCTCTCTCTGGCTCTGACCTCTTCAGATTCTGTCCCTTCTGACACTGGCAGCCACAGCACACTGTGGGTATTTCATTTAGATGGCATATTATTTTTAAAAGGATTTATTTCAAGTGTACGAGCGTTTGCCTATATAATTATGTGCAGCCATACACCACATGGTGCCCATGGAAGCCAGAGGGGATGTTAGGTCTCTTGGAACTGTAGTTACAGATGGTTGTGAGCTGCCACATGGGAGCTGAGAACTAAAGGAGCAGACAGTGCTTTTAGCCACTCAGCCATCTCTTCAGCTGCCCCTTTCCTTTTTTAGATGAAGTCTCACTATGTGTCAAGGTAGTGATCCTTTTGTCTCAGCCTTCTGAGTGCTACACCTGCCCACAACACGCTTCCTGGTTTTAAAGCCCAGGCTGGCCTCAAACTTGCTGGCAGTCAAGGATGATTTTAAACTTTTTTTTTTTTTTTTTTAAGATTTATGTATTTATTATGTATAAGTGTTCTGCCTGCATGAGTTCTTGCAGGTCAGAAGAGGGCACCAGATCTCATTACAGGCGGTGATGAACCACCATGTGGTTGCTGGGAATTGAACTCAGGACCTCTGAAAGAACAGTGCTCTTAACCACTGAGCCATCTCTCCAGCCCCCGACTCCAAACTTCTTTTAAAGAAATTTATGAGCATGAACGTTCGCCTTCATGTGGTGCGTGTTTCATGTGTGTCCTGGCACCTGAGGAGGCCACAGGAGGGCACTGGATACCCTGGAACTGGGTTACAGAAGCAAGCCACCATGAAGGTACTGGACCCAGGTCTTCTGGAAGACAAGCAAACATCCTTAACCATGAGCTATTTCTCTAGGCCCCTCTTCCTCCATCTCCTGAGTGCTGGGATTACATGCATGAGCCACTATACCTATCAGTTTACATGGTGCTGGGGAATGAACCCAGGGCTCTGTGCATGTCAGACAAGCACAGCTCTGCAATGTGTCTTTAAAATTTATTTTTACTACATTATGTGTGCATGTCTGTGGGTGCCCATGCACTATGGTGTTTGTACACATGTGTGCACACACATGTGTGTGTGTATTGTATAGTGTATCATCTTGCTATAGTCCAGGCTAACCTCAAACTCATGATCCTCCTGTTTCAAATTCCTGTGTATTGGGATCACACCTGATTTAGAATGTGCATTCACACACGGATGGAGAGATAGTTCAGAGGTTAAGAGCAGCGGCTGCCCATCTAGAGGTCCTGAGTTCAATTCCCAGTAACCACATGGTGGTTCATAACCATCTATAGTGGGATCTGGTACCCTCTTCTGCCTTGCAGGCATACCTGCAGGCAGAACACAATATACATTAATATATATAAAAAAAAAGAATGTGGATTCACAAGCATGTGTGGAGGTCAGAGGACAACCTGCCAAATCAGTTCTCATTCCACATGAGTCCCAGCTGTCAAACTCAGGTCACCAGGCTTTG